AGAATAATAGACTAAATGACTGCAACATGATATTTTATTTAGGAAGTGACAAATATCATGCATAAAGAAACAACCAACACGTCCTAACGAGCTTACGCAAGAACGATATGCATGACATATCGCTATAACGTCATGCATATATATATTCATACATCGCTTTCCTTTTGCATTACATTCTTCTTTTGTTTTACCTGTGACTTCGTTAGCTATCGATTTGTGTGATCCTTGGTGATTTACGATCGTATTCCAGCTCGATAGAAAACAATAAGAGAAACAAGATATCGTCGATGGATCAATCACGAATGGACTCGCAGATGTATGAAATGCAAATGCATGAACCGACAATGTATACATCGCAGATGTATTCATCACCGGTGTATCAACCACAGATGAATCCATCGCAGATGCATCAATCACAGATGCATCAGTCGCAGATGTATCAACAGCCAACACAAACAAGGGCTACTCAACTAACGACCGATGGAATTCCCACTTATTTTATTTGGTCTATTGTGAATATACTACTTTCTGGATTATTACTTGGTATAATTGCTTGCTTTTTCTCGCAGAATGTACGTCAATATAAAATAGCTGGAAACATAGAAAAGGCTAAAAAATGGAGTAAGGTGACTCTCTGGTGGAATATTTTTGCAACATTGATTGGTATCGCAGTTATTATCGTCATCATCATCTTTGCTACACGCTCGAAATCATTATATCCGACAAACGTGTACCCGACAATGGTACGAAATTGAAAACCTATGCATATCAATCATATTTTATAATAGAAATCTCATTGTTGAGTAGCTCTTATTACAGAAAACTAACATAGATACTTAAAAACGTTTCGTCTAACAATTAACATAATCCTATTGTCAAAGTTTAATCTTCAATAAAGTATATATATATTCTATTTAAATCACCCATAATTATTTTGATGAAGTAAGAACTTTGAATGACACATTGAAGATTCATGATCAATTTTAACAATGTCAGTAACTGCCGATTATAAGAGAAAAAATTCATTGATGGAACAAGAAGATTGCAGTAAAAATACTGTGTTCTAGAGAGTTTGCTGACTGTGAACTAAGTTGAAAAACATATTTACAGTTTTGTTAATAGTAGAAAGTTTCAATAGCTTCAATCTCTACAAACAAAAAGTCTGAATAGTAAGTAAAAAAAACTTCTGTCATACTATAAAACAATATCATATTCTTGTCATAAGCAATGAATTCAAAAGTATTGATGTAAAAAAGATGATTCGATTGCTAGTAACACACAATTAGTCTTAAACAAACAAGCTTCAAAAAGCAGAAATATAATCACATCCTATGATCAGCATCGAACGTTTTTTTTTTTTTAGTATAAAAACTCGAATATTTGCATTTGAGCGTTACTAGAACCAAGTAGCATGTTGTGGTGGACGAGACAATGAGGACTAAAGCTTTTTTGAACCAAATTTTTTTGTTTTTGCAGCTCCGAAAATTTCTTTACTACAATGTATACTGTTTGTTGTGCTGCTTGTTAATGTGAATGTCTTTTTAACGTTTCTCTAGAAACTTATTTATGAGTCTATAAAGTAGTGTTTTATTGTTCATTACTTCACAGATGAAAAATAAGCTAGTCAATATGTAAGGGTAGATATACATGACTAATTCATTGATGTAATTTAGACATTGACTTCTAAAAATATTCTTGATGATCACTCTGCATCTGACTTCGATAGGATCAGAATCACGGTACGACTTCTCAGACAGAGCTCTAGTTAATGTCTTCTTGTTAAACACCTATGTCCTACCACGGTTGGAAACGATGAAATATTTTTTCGATTGTACATGGCATATTCGTTCCGTTCAACCTTTTAGTCCAGTGGATCAACTGGCGGAAAATTGGCGAAAGGCTAGAACATTTGAATATACTCTTGAACCTACTAACTCTTTTGAGAAAAAGTTTATTTATACAATTCCATGAGGACGCACAATGTGAAACTGATATAACTGTTGTAATTTTTGATAGTAAACACTTGTATTCTAGTTTAACGAGTTTCATACATGCTAATACGAAGAATGGAGAAAAACTTCTTTTCAAAAGTTCCCATGTACGAACTCATAATAACTAATATTGAACAATATCTATGCTGTGTTTTGCATGACTTTCTTTCAGAAAGATAGATAATTTCTGTACAACGATTCATAAGTGTGATCTTTTGTTTCATGAAATAGTTTTGATTTCGATAAGACTACTATAGTTTCAAAGTTCCATTTTTATACTAAACTTCATACTTTTAGGTACCTCAACACTGATATATTGTCACAGGTGCATCAGGTAGCAGTTTGCAAAAACTTCTAAAACGAGACAGATTCTTTTCTGATATTCATCTAACAAAAACATCCAATGAAAGTACTCTCTATTGACAGTTTCTGACAGTCTGTTAAAGGAAATTTTGAAAAATGAACTAGAAATTTCAAGATGGAAAATCTTTAGTTTATACAGAATTCACCTTCTGATGCACTACAAGAAACCATTAGTTCAAAATTCAGGACTAGGATTTTGATGCAGATTAGTTTTTGTTAAATTGAAACTTTTACAGTCATATTTTTGAACCATTTGAAACTGTTAAAATCAATAAAAACTAGTGAAATAGGCTAGCTTCAGTATTGTAAAAATTGGTAGAAGAACCCACCGGTTATCTTCTATTTTTTAGAGAGAATCATTGAAAAACAAACATGACCTCGTCATTTGTATGTTTTTTCTTCTCTTATATGAATAGAGATTGTTATATTATTTAACGCAAAATAATTTCAAATACAGTAGTAAAGTGTTTTCTTCTTAGGAAAAGTTTCCTAAAATAACATGGAGTAGTAAACTAGTTGTTTGTACAACAACTAAAGTGAAGAAATCGTAACAGACAAGAGCAATTGGCTAAAAGCGTTACACCATTTTCAGTTATCATATAGATATTCACAATTTAATGCTCTGACATGAGATATGGTTGTTGCCGGTATGAGCTCGATTTTTTTTATAGTGATAAATAAAGCAGATACAAAAACAAGATTTTAGTACCGTCTTGGCTGATTGAGAAAGTGACGGTACTCATGAAAAAAATAACATTTAATAAAATACACTTCGATGACAACCATCTTAAGCGTGTAAATTCGTCATAGTATAAAAATAAATCATAGATCTTTGCTAATATAATTAGAATTGCATTGAAATTATTTATTTATTAAGATAAAATACTTTGAAAAAAATTCTATTCAGGATGTTGGTCTGGGTTTTGGTATAGGTATAGGTACGAGTAAGATTCTTTTGCTAGCTCACATTCACATCCTAAAGTGATCGATAGAATTTGTGATCAATCTCTTTCAATGAGATAGATGAAAAATACTTACATTAACCAAGACTGTTTCGAATAAATTATAGTTTGCTTTGAATGTATATATTACTTTTAAACACAGTCCTTTAGTTATAGTGTTATTGGTTGACACTAAGCTTTCGACATCCTTGATTTTAAGAGAATTAGAAAAGACCTATAGTCTCCAGTTCAAATCTAGAGACAAATGCATCAAAACATTTAGTCAAATTAAAATCGGTACATGATATGAATTACAATAGATATGAGAAAAATAATTCATACAAGTTAGTTTAAGTGTATCCATATGAAAATTCTTAACAAAAAATCTAATTCTTATCGTATTATTGAATTATAATCAATTTTAATTGACTTACAATATTAAAATCAGATACAAATACTCCGATGTTAATCAATTTTTAATCATTCAAACACAGCTTACAATCCGATTTTTGGTGAAAAACTTTTCGCATGATGAATATTTGGCTTCAGCATCGATTGACCAAACAACGTGCTCTCTTTTAGAAATTTGTCATTTCTTTCAAAAAGATAAATATAAAACAAGTGATAAACTAAGTAATGTGATGTTAGGTCTTTTGTGACCAAAAATGTATGTTTTTATAAATGATCAGTAAATGCTGATTACATGCTTTCTTAGTATATATTCATATTTTATTTAGGAAGTGACACATACCACGTCATAAAAAAAATATATGCATGCGCTGACGAGCTGACACTCGAAGCTATGCATGACTAGTCGCTATGACGTTTTATATCTATCCATATGTCTCTCTCATTTGTATTACATTCTTTATTTGCTTCAGCTGAATCTTAGTTGACTATCAACCTCTGTAGTGCTTGTGGCTGTACGATTCTCACGCAGCTTGATGGAAAGCAATAAGAAAAATGGAGTCTCGCAGAACAATCAATTGCACATACAAACAAGCGATAATAAACTTATAATTGATGGAATTGTCAGTTATTTTACTTGGTCTATTGTGAATTTACTCTTATTTGGAATATTACTTGGTATAATTGCTTGCTTATTCACACAGAATGTACGTCAATATAAAATAGCTGAAAACATAGAAAAGGCCAGAAAATGGAGTAGAATAACTTTCTAGTGGAATGTTTTTGCCATATTGATTGGTGTCGGGGCTATGATTGCCATCACCATTATCTGCATTAAAGCTTCGAAATCACCATATTGAACAACTATGAACTAGATGATGGTACGGTATAGAAAAGCTATGACATTAATCATATTTCATAGTAGAGATTTCATTGTTGAGTAGTTCTCATTCCAAAAATATCAACATAAATACTTAGAAAGACTTTGTCTAACAATTAATATAATAAATTCTATATACATATAGAGTCTACTGCTATCATACATAATTATTTTCATGACATCAGAATTTTGGATAATACATTAAAGATCTATAATCAATTTGAACAACGTTGGTAGCTGTCAATAATAATAAAAGAAAAAAGAGAAAGTTTTTTCTATGATTTTTTCTTTCATGATATAAAACAATATGAAATATTTGTTATATGCAATGAATATAACAATGCCATGAGACTTTGCTTGAATATTTTTATCTAAGTGTCACAGTTAGATGGAAGAATTTTCTGTAAGGTTTCAATGTGTTTCCCCTCATAGAATGAAAATGTGTTAGATTTATCTTCTCATGAAAGTGCTGACGATATTCATTCATCGAAACGCATTACATTCACCGTTGAATATTATTTTATGACAGTACCTAAGCTAAAACTATTGATCAAATCACAAAAAGTGAACAAACAAGAAGAATACTGTGTGTGAATACGAAAAAAAGAAACTTGTTTATTAATATTAGAAATTCGTCTATACAGATACTTTTGCTAAGAGTAATAAGTTATATAGAGGTATAAACATACACTTTTACATATTGCTTAGTCATCTATTTACTCTTCTCGTTGTGCACGGAAGAAAGCATATAAAATTTGTGATTCATTCAAGTTAAATACTTTTTTTTTTTCTCTGCTACCATTTCTTCTTGTTGCTTTCTTCAAGGGTTTTATACATTGAAAACATTTTAAAAACAAAATAAGGAAGAAACAGAAGAAAACGTACAATCAATAGAAAAATTATGCTTACATCTAGCAGGCTACAATATATAGTCTCGATTCAGCTTCCGCATACGTACGCCATAAAACACAACATCAACAATGGATATTTTATATGACAAAGAACGCGAAAGAGACAGAGAAGGAATAAAATCTTGCTCAAGCGAAATAAAAACTACGTAGTTTCGTATAGTCATGTGCTACAAAGAGAAAACGAAACAGCTCATGAATTAAGCTTGTCGTGCTACCGCCAACGATTATGATATGCCACTTATGTGTAGGCTCCAGCATTTCACGATTATTAGATGAATTACACTATTATGGTGCAATGGCATAGAAAAAAAAGAACGAAAAAGAGAAGAACTAGTTATGAATAAGAGCCTGTCATATTCTTTTCTCCTGTTACTTTACTCATTTCTATTCAAGTAATAAAGACAAACAATAAAAAAACATAAGAGTAGTACTCTATATATAAGCATTTTGATTTAACTTGTCCTCATCGAACTGAGACAGAAGTGAGTGCTGCCAATAACTTCTTCACAACAATATAATTTCATCTGTTTACGTTCTTTGTTCTTTTGCTAATTTGCATTTATTCAAACATCTTCGACGTTCGTCTACAATCTATAAGCAGTAAGTTTCAACATTTTATTTTTTTCAAACAAAGTCGATCGCGGAATAATATGTTTGTTGTTCTATATTCTAGTGACGTGTGTTCGTTTACAAACTCAAACAACTCCCGAAGAAATTCTTTCTAATCCTTGGCATGATAGAGGTTTCTGTGATCCGGATCAATATCAAGCAGCACTTCATCGTTGCCAAAATGGTTATGAATCATGTGATTTATTCATCAAAGCATTCGAAGAACGTGCAAGCTTGGAGCGTGATTATATTGCAGCCATTTATAATTGGTCCAAAATATGGCAAAAAGAAATAAATGAATCGCAAGAATTCGGTACAAATAAAAAGACATGGTTAGCTGCAATTCAAGCTGGTGCACAAGCTGCTTATACACATACGGATATTGTTGAACGTATCCAAAATGATGTTATTGATCCAATGATTGCTTTCAAGAAACAGAATTATGCAAAATCGATTATTCATATAAGAAAAATTAAAGAATTCGAAAAAGAATTTGAAAATCTTCAAAAACCATGGTTAAAACTGTTGTCAAAAATTAATGACGCAAAAGAATCCTATCATGAAAAACGCCGAAAATTAAAGAAAGCTGAACAGGCAAAGAAAATCATTGACTCAAATATAGGTGCAACCGAAGAAGAAAAGACAGAAGCTCAAACAAGTGTTAATGTCTATACTAAAGAATCGGCAAATCTTCGAAGTAAATACGAACAATTAATTAATGAAATGAAAGATTTGAGACCACACTATGAAAATAGTATGAAACGAGTACTAGATCGTACACATGAATTCGAAAGAGAACGTCTTAACAAATTCAAACAACTTTTCAATGCGTTTTACAATGCTATCAATATTCAAAATGATCCTTATATCATTGAAATGTCGACGGCATTTCAAAATGCAATTGCAGCACATGATATTGAAGCTGATATTCAATGGTGGAATAAACATTATGGAAGTGATACGAACACATCGTGGCCAGAATTTGAAGAGTTATCCGATAAGTCTATATAAATCTATGTAATTCTCGTTTTTTTTTTTACAAATCGAACAGACTCTTTATATGATCATTCTAAGTATCAACACTTTCATACGACCCATTGTAGAAAATGCAGAACGCAGGATATTAAAAAACTCTTTAAACTACTAATTGAGAAAAAAATATATTTTCTATCAATCTCTATCTCTAATAAATAAAATATGTTTTAAAAATTTTCATACGATTTACTTAAACATGAGATTATATGACATAAAATAGCAACTGAAGCTGCCATTGGAGAGTTTTTTTTCATATATGCAAAGGTTTCCTAGATAGGTGTGGATGTGATATCTGAAAGTCTTCACTTGACTCACATCCGAAGATTGAGTACAACAAAATAAGTGACGATTCTGTTGCGTATTATTCGAAATAATTTCAAATACTTATGGTTAATCAGCTCTGAAGATCAATTAAACTTTTATTAAAAGATGTGGTTGCATACAAATGATATTTAACTTAAAGTATCAGCCTTCATTAATCTTATCCATGAAAAACAAGATAAACAAAGTCGTAAGACACAACTATTTTGTCTTTTTGTTTCTGTTTTATCCTTTTATTTTAAACCATATTGATCTTTCGATGCTAATGGGTAATTAGCTCCCTGTCGTTTCATTCGGGAAAAAAAACAGTTGCCTTAAAATACAGTAAATCATGTCAGTTGATTTTTTTTCTCACGATTCGATTAGATTTAAATGCGAGGCAATGAATATCAAAGCATAAAATATGATCGAACATTGGTGCATCCTATTGTTTCTCATTACAAGAGTTAGCACTGACAAATTTCCACCGCTCGATTTGTACATAGGGACGGGTGGTACCTTTTTAGGTGCAGCAAATTTGCCTCTAGGTGCACAAACTCTTTATGGTACAGTTCGTCTTGGTCCTGATACAAGCGATGTAGAAGATCGTCCAGCATTACTTAATCGTTACGCTGGTTATCATTATTCGGATACGTACATAAATATTTTTTCACATACGCATGTGTTTGGTGCAGGAATCGTAGATTATGGTAATGTTGGCATCTTTCCTATTCAAGTCGATAATAATGATAATTTACAACATATGATAGCAAAACGCCATGGCTATCGAAGTACATTTAAACATGAAAGTGAACGAATCGAGCCAGGTTTTTACCAAGTATATCTCGAGACACATAAAGTCATGTGAATATTGATCGAAACAACAATGAAATTACTGGTTCAATTTTCTTTAAAGGATTTCTATCCAGAGCTTTTGGCGGTGTGACAACATATTTTGTCATTACATTTACTAATTGGACAGATTTCGGTGTTTGGAATCAAGGTCGTCTAATGCCTAGACAAACAACAACTGATGGATGTTCATAAGGTGCTTATGTTATACTACCTGCTAATCAACAACAAGTAACAGTTTATGTCGGTATTAGTTTTGTATCAATTGAACAAGCACGTATCAATTTACAAATGCAAACAAACCTAGAATCATTTGATTCTATTCGTGAATTTATACAACAAAAATGGCTTAATGAATTGTCTCGATTCGAGGTATGTTTCATTGATCATATAAAAACGCAAAAACATATTTTCTATCGACAATGACAAACATAATTGTATGTTAATTTTTACTAGGTCACTGCTGAATGGAATCTTGAATCTGAAATTAAATTTAATACAGCACTTGTTCATTCGATGTCAAGTCCGACTATATGGGATGAATCAAACGGTGTCTATTTAGGTTTTGATAATAAAATTTATACAAAACCTGAATATATGGATCATATCTATACTGATTTATCCATATGGGATATTTTTCGAACACAAGTACCGTTTCTTATTTTACATGATGCTAAACGAGCTAATGATATTGTTCATTCGATTATGCTCATTGTTGAACAAGGTGGTTATTTACCTAAATGGCCACTTGCTAATGGACATACAAATTGTATGATTGGTTCACATGCTGATATTATATTGAGTGATTTAATTATGAAACATGAACATGATCTGCATCTTAATATGACTCAAGTTTTAGAAGCATTACGAAACGTAGCCAATAAACTACAAAAACATGATAGCCGTTTTGATCCACCAACATACATTAAATATCAATATGTACCGTTTGATCAAGATGAATATTCAGCATCACTTACACTTAGTTATGCGTATGATGATTGGGCAATTGGTAATGTCATGTATGCTGCAGGTCTTATAGATGAAGCTCAAGAGTATTATAATCGATCTCAATGGTTTGAGAATATATTCGATAATACAAAAAAATTTTTCTGTCCACGAAATAGTACTGGTTACATTCTTTGTCCATCAAGTGAAATCGAATATTTGATTCCATTCGATTATCGTTATACAGAAGGTGATGCATGGCATTATCGATTCTTTGTACCACATAATACACCACGTCTTGTCGATTTATTTGGTGGTACAAATTTTTTTGTTCAAGAACTTAATACACTCTTTATTCGTAGTCGAGATTGGCCGACAACAACAATACCAAATCCATATTATTGGGCAGGAAATGAACATAATCTATTTTCTGTTTGGCAATTCCATTATGCAAATCGATCTGATCTTACTCAACTACATTCACGTTGGCTACTTGATCATGTTTACACAATAAAACCTGATGGTATACCAGGCAATGATGATTATGGTACAATGTCAGCATGGTATATATTTACTCGTATGGGTTTTTATCCACTAGCTGGTTCATTTACATATTTGATTGGTAGTCCTGCATTTGATCGTATTACAATTCGTCGTAATAATGGTCAATGTATACTTACAATTATTGTTCATAATAATTCAGCAGAAAATATCTATGTTCAACGTGTTTTACTCAATGGTGAACTTCTATCAACATTTCCTTTTATAGATCATATCAATCATCTTCAATGTTCTACTGAATCATCAACAGTACAACTTGAGTTTTTCATGTCATCTACACCATCATCAATTCCTGAAATGAATTCCGTTGATCATTAAATAAGCTAGTAGTTTTAGTATTTTTCTTCTTCTCTTCAATGTATAATAAGAAATGATTTTGTCTTTGATTTTTTTCAATGGGTTGTATTTGACTTAACTTTTGACATTATAACTATTTCTTTAAAAAGAGATCGAAATATTCACTAGTGTTTGAATAGAGCTAGATCATAAACTAGGAAATAAAATAAATACTAATGTTGATCAGTCAACTTGTTACCAATATGTTTTACTATAAGTATCAATACAAAGATGATAACACTTCTAGTGAAGGGCATACTTCAATTTAATTAAACAACTTATTAGTATTAACAAAAGTCCGAAAACCCAAACAAAATACAAAATGTGTACTTGAAGTGTAAAAATTTTCCTACAGTCTCTTACTGACAATTATACTATGTTCTATGTGAAATAGATACAACTAGACTGATGACGTAGCGTTATTGGCACCAATATCAAAACCGCTAGTAATAATGCTACTTCTCTAATTCATTCTCATCCTCATCATATTAAAATAACACAGATATACTTCTAGGAACCGATAAATACATTTGAATTCTGTTAGACAACCATCCATTTTTTTTTCTATTTTCAGAGTTGGAACTTATTTTTTCTTCTTCTCACAAACAGTTCTATCCTTGTAAAAAGCAATACATCCGACACACTTAGTCTAGTATTGCTGATGAATTCTACGTCTAAATCACTAGCTATTTCTGTCTCTAATGAAAGAAACGAACAGTTAAGCAGGCAATAGAACACTCTTCGAAAAGCATGTTGATAAAATTTGAGTCTCGGATGATACGCAAAGTTTTAGACATGAACATTGAAAAAAATGTTCATCTAACAAAAATCCGACTTCGATAGTTACAAACGATCAAAAGTTAATAAAACATGGTAATTCGCATATTAAAAAAAATTGACACTAATTAACAATCTTTTTCATCATTAAATTGCATCTGGTCCCGTTTATTTCAAATTTCATTATCTAAGTAATACATTGTTAGTGCAATTGTCAAATACAAAGTTCTAACGCCACCTAGAGTAATCTTGTTTTACATTCATACTGGCTGAAGTAATATTCAATCACGATTGTCATTCACTTTTTTGATGGTTAAATGTAATTTTTATTTTTGAAATAAAATGTCTAAAAGACCTTATGAAAATGATGATGACGATGATGATTATATGTCCGATAAAATCTTAGCTGCTGCTGCTCAAGCATCTGCTCCACAATTGTTAAATCCTCGTCGTCGTATACCACCTCCTGCTCCCTCAATTCCTAACGAAAAATCTCGTCATGTAATTGAAAAAGAACAACGTGAACACGGTTTATCAACAGCCATAACAAGTGATAATAAAGGTTTTCAATTATTAAAAAAAATGGGTTATAAAGAAGGTTCAAAATTAGGTGCAAATCAATTAAATGGTTTAATTGAACCAATTCCAATTAAAATTCATCCAACTCGATCGGGTCTAGGTGAAGAAAATGAAAAGAAAGAAAAAATTCGTTTAAAAGAAGAAATTAAAAATAAATTTAATCAACAAATTCAATCAACATATCAAGATCATTTAAAACAAAAATATTATTTAAAACGTCTTCGTATTGATATTGCGAAATGTCAATCTATATGTGAAAGATTTGATAGAGAAAAATTAAATCTTGAAGAAAATATTTTATGGAAAAAAAAGAAACAAGATAAAGAAGAAGAAGATGATGATGATGATGATGATGAAGATGAAGAAGAACAACAAGGTAATGATGATGATCAATTTAATATGGAAAATCAATTAAAAAAATTAACTAATTATTTAAGAGATCAACATTTATATTGTATTTGGTGTGGACAAACATTTGAAACATTAGATGAATTACAAAATACTTGTCCAGGAAATGAAAGAGATTTACATTAAATTCTATCTATTTTTCAGATAGATATGTAATTAAATTGAATACAGTCTATTTTTCATTATAAATCTTTATATATAAATTGTATTTTTCCTGTTTTATTATTAAATAAAACAAAGAAACCAAACAGACTAATAAAAATCTCACATATGTTGTATGCGAAAGTATGCTTAATTTTCAATAACATAGGTTAATGAACTAATAAATGATGTTTCGAGATGTAGTGCAACACACTCATGCTGAAAATTACTCTTTTCAATGACATGAACAGACGAAACAGTAGATCGACTAAGATTATTAATAGTTCAGCTTATTCTCTCTAATGCTTTATACATAAAATTGTTATTCATGTTTCCTATTAGAAACAAGATCATTTTCTCATCGAGCTTGTCAAAATCTATCGAATCTTATAAAAATTTCTAGAAAACAAGATTATATTTCAGATGTTACTACTTATAATTTTAATTTTTCTTTGTAAAATTGTGTATTTCAATTAACTAATCATATTTTCAACAATTATGTAGCATAGGTTCAAAGGAATCGAATTCTTTAGATGAAATATTGATGAGGTTTCATTTTATTTTCTAGTATTAATCAAATAATTGATTTTAGAAAAAGAAAAAGTAGCTAATCGAATTAAATTTCTTTAGACAAAAAAACTAATAATAATTTTTAATTCACTGAATATACATAATTCTCTTTTTCTCAAGTAGTCATAACTTAAGAATCTTTTTTTTTCAAGTATTTCGATTTCGTTGGTTATTGGATATACTTAAAATTGTAATAAAATATTTATTTCAAACTTTGTTACCCTGATTTTCAGTAAGTAAATAAAAAGATTATCTTTTGATATCTATTATGTTAAATGTATATGAGAAGTCATTTTTCAGTATGATCAATTTGATTTTACATATGTAAAAATGAATATTATTAATGACTCATTTATATGAAGCAAATTTCATTATCGAAAATTATTCGTATTTGTAACACAACTTTTTCATCAATATTTCTTACTGATTTTGTATGACATCTAGACTATATTAGACCTAATATATAGAAAGAAAAGCATTTTATGAGTCATTATTGTTCGTTCTATTCTTTCTTTTCAAGGTTAGAATGAATTATGAGTTGATCATTCTATGAAATATGTTCATATAACAATAAATATATTCATATATATGTATTTTCTTTTTTTTTTTATTGATACTTATTTATTATATTTGAAAACTTACAAGAAATGTGTATATTTTTTTTAACATTTATTTTTATTAACAAAATATTCAATTATCACTTAAAAAACAATAACAATGATTCGTCGAGTTATTTACGATGTTGAATTTCGTGTTTTGGTAAAAGAAAAATTAAGTCTATGTGATAGTGTTCTTGTAACTGGTTCATGTGAACAATTAGGTGAATGGATACCAAATCGTTGTATACCATTAAATCGTATTAATCAAACAGAAGATGGTGAAATATGGTCAACAAATATTAAAATTAATGGATATGAAAAAGTTTTCTATCGATATCTTATTGCACAAATTATTCGAATTGATGATGATATGAATTTAATTATTAAAAAATGTATGTTTTAACTTTATTTTCTCTTACAAAAATATTTCTTTTCTTTTTTTCTTTACATAGGGGAAACATTTAAAGAAGCACGACAATTATTATTCAATTCAATTGATACGAATAATCTTACTAATAATGAACAATTAGAAGAATATCCAGCCATATTTGGTTATTATAAAAATATATGTCGTACTGATATTGGATGGTTAACAGGTCAATCAGAAATACAATTACGTTTTCATTCAAATTCTTTACAAATATGGTCAACAAAATTACGTAATAAAACATTATCATTAAAAGTTTCTCCAATTGATTTAACATATCAACAAGAAAATGAAGAAATAACATTAGATTCATTAAATCAAATATATACACCAACATCAAAAGTATTTATTCAATCAGCTATATTACATTTATCAGGTTGTGAAACAAATATTCAAAATGATTATGGTGCAATACTTGAAAAAGATGATTATATTATTGTTAAAATTCAAACATTTGAACCTGAAAATGTTGTTTATCATATTGATTTTTATCTTGTTGATGAACCAATATCATTAACACATCATATAGGATTTGCATATGTTTTACCCATACATTCTAATTATGAATTAACTGATAATAAACATCTTAGTCGAACTGTACCGATTATTGGACTCAAACATAATCCGTTCGTATTGTCTTTCATTATTAAAGCTTTAAATGAATATTCTTTTTTTTGTGTTTCTAGAATAGGACAAATTAAAATAGATATTTTATTAATTACACCATTAAAAGGTATTCAACAAAAATTTCTCGTTACACCATCAAAATATTGGCGTGAAGGTCGAAGACCAGTGAATGTTGGTCATAGAGGTTTAGGTAAGAAAAAAAAACAATGTAATAAAATTATATTATTTGATATTGTTTTTGATCATAAATAATAGAGATTATCTATATGCATGAAATACACTCTTATAATTAATTGATTCAATCTTATTATAGTGATCATGAGTTGAATATTTTATATATTTGAAAAATCTAGCATGAGAAATAAGTCGGATTATTAATTGGACTGAAAAAATAAGAAGCGTACTTGTCTAATTGCAATGTGCAAAACCTGTGTAAGTAATTTTGACGAAACATTAGTATACAAATTTTTTTCCACTGTTTTCTTATCTTGAAAACAAAAAAAAAGAAATATGTATCATATACTTAGACTTCTGTTCAGTATTATTTTAAAAATGAATGTCAATTGACTCAATTTTACATATTCAATACGCCAAATGAATTCTGAATCACTTGTTTTTTTTTCTATTGTTGCTGTTCTTGGAATAAACTAAATAATATAGTTTTTCATATAAAATAAAAGCTTGAAAATCATATTGTGATTGTGAAAGTGTCTATCGAATGTCGATGAGTTTCAATTCGAATTTGTTTCGAATATTCGAATATTTAATAAAAGTACAGACTCAAGTTCTATTGTGTAAAATTTGAAATTTCAGGTAAAACAAATGTTGAACATAGTTCATCGAAATATCAATCA